TGTGTGTGTGTCTGTGTGTGTGCGCTGTGAGATGAACAAGATGTGAAAATAGTCACAGAATAATGTGCACTTGTTGAGTTGAGTGCCACTCACTGCCTTTTGCGCTCTCATTTGATTATTTCTCTTTACCGTTAAGAGCAAGAGCAGATGAGCTGTGTGCTGCAGGTCAGCTATGGATGAGTGATTTAGCACAAAACTGACATGACCCACTTGGTCCTTTTAACACACCACCTCACACTGACAGTGGAGCTTAAAGCAACTCAGCGCAAAAACCAGTTTGGTTGCTCTCACTTTTAGCACTGCCTGTTACTGATACTCTGCTTATTAGAAGGAACTTTTAATACTGTAAATCATTAAACACTTGAAATGGCTGACAGTTGTAAATGCCTGCCACTGCAAACCGATTCTTTCTGTCACTCCATGTCACGCCCTCACGTTTGAGCCAAATTTATGTGCCTTTAACGTGAAGTCATTTCCACACAGGTTGGAATAAAACGTGTGCCAGCGCAACTAGGCTTAATTTATGCTTCAGATGGTTAAAAGGATTCCTCAGCTCTGATACCTGGCACTTCCGTAATAATTCATCTAGAAAGAAATTTGTCTCAGTTATTCTTTGAGGGGTTTTGGGACCTGGCAGGCAAGGTGAAATGATTTACATCCTCTCACGCAGGGCCTTACTCCAGAAACACAAGACTAAAGGGAGGAAAGGTATTAAAAGTGAATGGAATTCCTCTGATGCTTCTCTCCCCTCCTGACCCACAATGATAAGAGGGTTAGTGCTAGGTTCACTTCATGATTTAGTGGCCTGCTAGGGGAAACACTTTCTGTGTGATCTCAGAGCAGTTTTGGGATTTCACTAATACTCACACTCACACACACACACAATGGGACAAAGGGAAGGTGGTGCTCTTTTGTGCCTCTTTACTTTCACAAGCACTCTCACTTCAAGGCAGCACACATGGTAGGCCATATACCATGAAACAGCAATGAGCGATGTCCTGCAACTCAGCAAAAAGGAGACGCATCTTCCCTCAAACACTGACCACTTCAGTTATCCTACAGCACTAAACACTCAAAAGTGAGCCACTGAATTTAAAGTTTTCTGCACCATTTAAGATGGAATACTCTCTATCCACTGCATCTGTAGCATATCTGCAATAAATACAGACGTGTTGCTTATAATGGACATCTAAGGGCAGTGTCAATTCTGTCAATAAACCTTTATGTGAAACACATATTCCTGTAGAGCACTTTCAAAAATGATTCTGTCAACTGTATTTGTAAACTTAGCTATAAATCTGTGTAACTCATCAGAGATAAGACTACTTTTTTCATCTGGGACGTGTTATAAGTTACCAATGTAGTCAATGTAGCAATGTAGTAAGCACAGAAGTGGCCCAATTTAATACTACAAAACCCATTGCTCTAGTATCGAACCTACAGTTTTGTCAAAACATTTGGCTGTAATTTTTGCATATAAATTTGCATTATATAGTCCTGTGTTTTAAATGTTTATTCCAGAATGCCCTTTCTCTGTTTTGAGTAAAAAGATTTTCCACTGAAGTTTTCTCAGTACAGGGAACATGAAATAATCATTCATCATTCATACACTAAAGTTGCAGTGAACAGAGATTATGTTTAAAAAAAAAAAAAAAAAAAAAAAGAACAAGAAATAGTAAGACGGCAACAACTGGTGGATTGGTTTTTCCAAAAACTTTTAATCTCTGCTCCTCTGAGACTAACTCAGACTAAGTCCTGTTCTACACACATTCCTTGGAGCCTTTCCTCTCATCTCATTACAGAAATCACAAGCCATCCTCGTCTTCAAGCTCTCTCAATGCTTTAAAGCCTACCCACATTCGGCTTAATTAATGAGGGCCTCTTTCTAATAAAAGCATCTGTCTGGGCCAGCAAAGGCTTGAACAAAACAGAAAGCACATGTGCACAGATGCATGAGACTGGAGCGCAGTGTGATGGGCTGGCCTGCACTCTCAGGCCTATTCATCCAGAGGAGGGGACCAATAAAAAGCACCTGGCTTGCCTCACCCTAGCCTCTTCTGGGTTTAATCTGCCCCTTTCTCCCCACCAAAATCCCCGGCCTGGATGTCTTTGTTCTCTTCTCAGTGGGGCATTAAAATATGGAAGGGGAACGAGCCAAAGTGGATCCCAGCTACCGTAGTGGCATTTGGAGTTTATGGCACTCCACAGGAGCGAGGGATCAGTCAAGAGACAGCCAAAACTCAATTAAAACATCAAAAACTCTTCTCCGGGTGCTCCAGGTGTGTTTGCAGCTTTACGACCATGACGCCTTTTCAGCACACCGGATCCCAAGAACTTAGATACCACGTCCCGTGGGGCATCTGCATGCCTGAGAGATGGAATAATGTAAATAAAAAATGCAACCAAACTGGAATGACTTTGATTTACAATACAACTACACAAGTCTGAGATCACTAAGTCTGGGTGGGTGGGAAGTGTTCGATACCAAACAAAAGTACAATATAGATTGCACATAATATAAAGCGCATCTAATTACTGGCCTTTCACATCACTTGACGGTTTTAAGCCGAAATTACTAGCAGCTTGTTCTTGCTGCACTTCCTGAATAAAAAGCTCGAGGCAAAAAGTCTGAGGTGGAGAAATGGTACAGAAAGAAGGGTTGAGTTTCACCACGGATAATCAAGTATGAAAACTGCAATTATACCCGCACTTTTAAAAAGCACTCAATTGTTCACAATTCATTCAGCTTCACAGTTAAAGTGATGGCAGATGTCTCATGAGGAATATCAGGCCTGTACCACAATTCTAGAGCCATTTTACACTTCAGTATTATCCAATTAGGCTTTATAAATGCATTGTTATACCTATTAAACCTATTAAATCATGCACCACAATACTGCATGTCCCCAAAATCACTGATCCTGTAATCTCTAATGACGTACTTAGTGATGGATGAAACTTTAAAACTAGTCCAAAGTTTATGGAGCTAGTTTTCTCATAGCAGAGTCAACTGCTTAGTAACAGACAGGGCTAACTTGGTTCAGTGATCTCTGTCTGTGTATTTGTAAAGGTGGTAAAAATGCCTCCGACTCCCTTGTGATACGCCCGACTCTCTTTTTCCAAATTTGCACAGGTTCCTGCATTCCCTTGGCAACGTCCTTTTTGCTGTTTTTTTAAAAGAGCCAATCAACCGGGGGCTGGTAACCAAGCCGCCTGTTTATCAGTAACCTGGGTGAACAATGACTGCAACCAGACACTGCCCCTGCCTCTATAGTGAGAGAGAGAGCGAGAGAGAGACAGAGAGAGAGGGGGGTGATCTAATGACACTGACACAGATATACTTGGCACTCACAGGCAAGAGCAGATACATGGGTGGGTGACTTTGAAGAAGAAACCAAACTATCTGCCATCTCAAGCTACAGTTATAAACACAGTACCGCATGAAGTTCCCATTTTCAAAACAACTATTAACAAGACCTGGCACCAAGTGAGCATCCGGAGTCCAGAGCTATCAGGTTCAAAAGTCTGAGCCTGCTACAAAAAACTATTTATTTCATTATTATTTGGAAATGATGGTACTTTTGTAGTCAATAATATATTTTTAAAACTAAAGTAAATATTTTTCCTAAATGTAAACTCCTTGTATGAAATTGGAAAATATCCAAACCTCTTGGCAAATTATTTGCTTTATTTTCCCAAATTGTTGTGTTGAGGTACACGGTAATATGTGTACACCCCTAACACAGTCAGGTCATCTGACATTGATTCCATTAAAGAAAATAAATCAATGAATATTCATACCACCTTCAGTAAGTGCTTTATCCTGGTCAGGGTCACAATGGATCCAGAGCCTATCCTGGGAATACTGGGCATGAGTTGGGAATACACCATGGATGTGATTATGCATTCTTGTCCCTAATTTTGTGACTTAGACTAGTAAAGAATCATGGAATTGGGTTTGTTCATTCATTCATTCACCTTCAGTAACCACTTAATCCTGGCTCCATGGATCCGGAGCCTATTCTGGGATGGGTGGGACACCATTCCATCGCAGGATTCACACAATCACACACAATTTGATAAAACAGAAAACTGCATTTCGGGAGAGAAGATAGTAGTTAGGTTAGGGTGAAGGTCTGTGGTTTGTGTTTAAAGCCTGGGGGTCTGGCTGCCCTTAGTGAAAGCTATAACCTGCGTTGTCACAGTTCACTGACTCTCACACAAGCTCACCAGGCTGTTTGACTCCTGATCTGCTGTGATCTCCTCTAGAGAACTAAACACCCCCCCCACACACACACAAACACACACTCCTATCCACACGCAGGACTCGTCCTGTCCAAACCTCCCACTCCTCATTTTTCCCTCTCTGGCTCCAGCATAGTTCAAGGGTTTTGTTGCAATCTTACAATAACTGAAATTAGACTAGCATACTGTACATTTTCATCTAAATGTAAAGATTATAAAGATTTAAATCCATGTGCACTTGTGCTTAGTGCTGTATTGCCCAAGAAAGTCTACCACCATGCACATGCACAAAACATGAGGGCTTGCACAAAGGCAGCACTAAAGAAGGCTGGCCAAAGTCCTAAAGGCTTTCGAATCAAAGGGCAAGCTTCAGAAGGACAATGCTCACACCCCATTCACTGTTCCCAAACAGCCAAGCTCCAGAGCCAAACCATGGTGTAAGCATCCATCAGCTCAGCCTCCGAGTGGCTACGAGAGGCTTACGATCACCATGGCGATAACCCCAGAGCACAAACAAACCTAGGATGTGGGGTAAGGCAGGGACATAATGACTACATCTTAAGTTGTTGTTCTTCTTTCGGTTGCTCCCGTTAGGGGTCGCCACAGTGGATCATTGATCCGCATATTTGATTTGGCACAGTTTTTATGCCGGATGCCCTTTCTGACGCAACCCTCCCCAGTTTTATCCGGGCTTGGGACCGGCACTGGGAGTACACTGTCGTGTGTTAGCTGGGATCCACAGTAGCTGGGATCGGTTCCCTGGCCTGGAATCGAACCTGGGCCGTGGCAGTGGCCGAGGTCTAACCACTAACCTCCAGGGACTCAATGACTACATCTTAAATGCTACGCCGTAATCACTCTACAAACCAGAAATGATCGAATGGAGTTGTTCTTCATGGAGTGTTTTTGTCAGGTATCTTGTAGCTTAACTAACTACTAAAGCAACTTGCCCAGCTATTGTTTCACTGCATAAGATCTCATAAAATCTTGGCTGAATTCTGTAACTGTTGCTGTTCTGTGAGTTTTTCGTCACCCTATACCATCCTCCCATTGGCGGCTTTCAGTCGAGTGTCATAGCAATGGTGACACTATGACATTTTAATAAAGAATTTCTGTTGTCAGCTGTCTTCGGTCACCAGTAAGCATGCCACATTATGCATTCTAAGCTCACTGATCTCTCGATTGAAGAATTATTTTACTATTGTTGTCTGCGAAAGCAAAACCAGGCATCAGGCTTAAGATGAGGTCATGCTGAAAATATCCTCATCACAAACGAAGCACGCCATTTTATCTTAACAGACAACAAAACACGCACTTTCATCTATCACCGCTTGCTGTTTTCTAGCTTGTTGAACATAAGAATATCCTATTGCTCTAAAAAAAAACTTTCATAAGTTCATTTCAGCCAAGCTCTTATCATGAACATCAATTTAAGAAAAAAAAGTGCAAGAAAAACTTGTGTAAGAAAAAGTGTAAGAAAGCAAGAGGAAAAGAAAGAATGTAACATGGCAAACAGAAAGAGCTCAGCTCACACGAACCCAGCAATTCTCCTGCAGCACACATGCCAGAGCAGCACTGTCATCACTGTAATAATAGTGTGTCTGCATTTTATCAGCCAGCATGCAGGAGATGCAGCACCCAACACTCCTGCCATGAAAAAGCATGTGCAAAGCAAGCGTAATTGAAAATCACACACTCTCGCTCACAACAATCCTATTCATCTAATTAACCACGTGGCCCTCCACTAGTAACCACTCATCAGCATGCAGGTTTCTGATCAAGCATAAAGACACGTTTTATTATGCTAATGCTACATTATTTCCACAAATTAAAAAATGCACCAAAAATATCTAAAAAAAAATTATGACAGACATTACAAACAACATTTCTGAGTAAATGTACTGTATACTTGTTAGACTTCTAAAGTAAGCCTTTAGCCAAAGCCACTTTGAAGGTTTTAACACTATATTCATCAGATAAGCATTTGTAACATTCCCTAAATCTATCCTACAAAGTCACAAATCTATTCAAAAATATTACACAGAAATGTTTTATGGGCCGATGGGAAGACTTTGCAAGATTGTAATCACGAGTGCCCGGTGGACAAGCAGGTTCGACCACATTAGCTGACAGTAGAATGTTTTTTACTAGGAAGATGAATTAGCTTTCAGGAATGACAGACCGTTTCAGAATCAGGAGCATGCACGTATGTGGAAACCCTGACAAGACCAAGTGGATTAAACTGCAGCACAAAGGAGTCATATAACACTCCTGCTTCACCTAGTGACCTAGCGGCTGCTCATATTGAGAAAAAATAAAGATGCTAGCCAGCCTCAAATAGTAGAGCTAATAGCCGAAACGTTCGTCAACAACTTTTTGTCAAGGTGGCAAATATGATGTGCTACATCAAAAACATTTTAGAAGAAGATAACGATATGATATGGTTACACATTCACGCCCTAAATGGGAATTTATATACGTGTTCGTTTCCTTTAGTCTGTATTAGTGCACTTAGCTAGGTTACTAGCTTGATAACATTATTAAATTACACTGGCTATCACACTCAGCCAAGCCAATTAGCTTTCCAGGCAATCAAAAGATTGGAGCTTAAAGTAATTATCTAGGAGGAAAATTATTATTACCAATTAATAATAATTTAACAAGTACCATAATACATATTTTTCAATTAAAGAAACGAATATTTGCATAAATCACATTTTCTTTAAGAACGAATCTAATTCAAATATTTTACTGAAATCTAAACATTCTTACAACACGTTTGTTCTAGCTTTGGTGTTGTGATGTGCTAAGGACGTGCTGAAGTCCAGCAGAGGTGGGATCAAGCCCCTCACCAACTGCAAACAGCACACCTTTCAGAGTAAACACGATCTGCACGGTGTGACTGCAGCAGGGAGGGTGTGGAGCCTGAGCACACTGGCCTCTAGATAACACAAAGGGTGATCAGATACAAGCGTGATCACACACACACACACATGCACACTCAGTCGAAACTAGAACGAACATTTCCACCATGTCACTACTGTTTTATCCCTTTTGCCATTAGGCATCTGTGATGTATGTATACCGTGATTTAACCAACTTTAAAGCTACAGTATGTAAGATTTTGGCATTTTGCCTTCTCTGGTTTAAAAAAGAAAAGCCCTACAGCAAGCTACTTGCAGCAGAACATTTGTAATTTGGGTTGTCCTGCATATCGCCCAGCCCAGCCCTAGTACGCAATCTGGATCTGAGTACTCACAAATCAAACTACAGGGCTTAATGTTGGAGCTTCATTTACAGGTGACTTACAGGTGACTTTTTTTTTTTTTTTGATCTTTAGAAATTGACAAAACTTCAGTAAGCCGCTGTTTAAAACAATTGGAGTCTGCTGATATTTTTCAGAATTCTTTTAAATGGGCATCAGTGATAAAATGAATGCAGTAGATTCCTGGCACTATTTGTGAGCTCTGGGTATGTGTGCATTTACTAACGCACTCGTGTAGAGGATGGGGGCAGCTGCTGTATTGGTAGCCCTGGTATGGAACATGTCAGCGCCAGTGGAGATTGATCTCATTCCTGCCATTGCAAAATGAACTGAGGGGCCCTCACACATGAGGAGACATGCTGGGGGCAACTGTCTGGGGCAATGTATAGGGGTGGGAGAGGGCAGAGACAGGGCAAGAAATACAGCACTGTCACTCAAATACATTACAGCTGGTACATGTCAAGTAATTCAGCAGCTAGATGTCTATAAGCTTATATGCTGTAAGTCTCAATACTTTCTTTCTTCTCAGCAGAGATGGGTAGTTTGTAAGAAAAATTAAAATCATCATTGTGACAGTAATGTATTTTGAAAATGATCATGCTAGCTCAATGCTCAGTGGTTCTTACATCAGCGAGTTTCATACTGAAAGTAACTGAATAAACTGTAATCATCACCGATTACAGCAAATAGCTGAAAAATGTTAAGAACAATACATCATAGTAGTAGGTTATGTGAGTGGACTTGTGTTATAATTTTTAAGATGTGATGCCATGCATATATTTCAGTGTATCAATTACACTTTCAGAAATAAAGGAGCCAAACTGTACTTTTCCTCGTCGCTGGCATGGAAGTATGAATCTTTTACATGGAAAGGTGCATGTAGTGTAGCTTTAATTAGCTCAGGTCCACTTATGTAACTTAACTATTTTTAAAGGTATACTATATTCTCTTTTTCATGTGAAAGATTTATGCTAAAGGTGCAAAAGATGGTACCACCCCAGTGACAAAAAAGCAGTACAGTTTGGTACCTTTATTTTTTGAGAGTGTAGGGGTGGGTGATATTGTTATGATACTGTTGATATGTTAATGTGATCATATCATATGATCATGAAAAATTATCTCACACTACACTTTTCCGAGAGTATCACTGATATAGAAAAATTATGTCTACTATACTGGCCAACTTTACATTTCATAAAAGACATTTTGACCAACTGTGTCAACTACTGGTGCCAATTAAATGTGCTTAGTAACCAATAGATGATTATGTCTCTATATAAAAATAATTAGGCAACAATTTTTTAACACATTTATGATTTCCCCCCTACTGTTCTTTGTTATATAATTCATTTTTATGCAGTTTGTTGTATTGTAAAGGTTTCTGGTAACTACAGAGTTACTGACTGATTGATTTTCACAGATTTCTATATTTATTTTTGTCAAACAGTTTTTTAATGCAACACTATTCTTTTGCTGACAGTTTTTTTTTTAGCAAAGCTAATTTTATACATGTATATCTTGTAGAAAATTATCATGATATGGTATTTTTGTCCTGTCCACCACCCTTATTACTGAGGTGAGACCCTTGAGCAAGGCACCGATCCCCCAACTGCTCCCCGGGCGCCGCAGCTAAAATGGCTGCCCACTGCTCCGGGTGTGTGTTCACTACTGTGTGTGTGCACTTGGATGGGTTAAATGCAGAGCACAAATTCTGAGTATGGGTCACCATACTTGGCCAACGAGTCACTTCACTTCAGTTCACTTCACTTCACTTATTGTGTATCAAGTACATGTCTTCACATATCAGGAGATCTGATGAAGCTCCTTGAAAAAGTAGAAAACGTCTTCAGCCCATTTGTGTCTTCCACAAGACAGTGAATACGACCTAGATCATTTAGAATCTCCACCAACTTATTAAGAGAACTATGCTAACACCTCAAAAAAAAACTGACACTGGACAACTAACTACTTGAATTAAAAAGTGAAACGTATCCTAAGAACAAGAAAATGTCTCACTGACCGCAAACCCAAAAACAAAACCAAAGGCTGTAGGAAACTGAATAGTAATGAAACCGTTGAAACCCTCTAAAGCAGTGCTCACACCTCATTGTCTTTCAGCCTATTACTTGCTTTGTGAGGTGAGACGGCCTGAACGGTCATGCCACCTGCGAAGAGGGAGTCCTACAGGCTCAACTTTAACACTGATTCTGCCTATTGCCATTCAGAAGAGCTCTTTTGACATGGAAAAGACCCTCCGCATCCCCTCCCCCTGCTCTTTTGTCAAAGTGTTTGAGCTGGAGAGAAACTCAACACACTTCCAGATAACACACAGAGTCATTAATGCGGCAAAATTGAAATGAAATGAGTGCGATTTTCTAAAAGGCATTGAATCACATTCAAAGCTCTTCTGAAGCAGATAAACAATACAACCAAGTCCAAGAATGACTGCAGTGCTACAAAGAGGAATGAGCTGGACTAATTTCTTCAAACATGAGCGGTGGCATATGTTTTAGGTTCACAGAGACCCTCAGAAAACAAAACACTGTGCTTTTTGTC